TGCAGACATTATTCTGCATAGCCTATCTAGTTCATTTCCCATCTCCGCCAGGCTTGGAAGATCTCCAGATAACGAGGTACTATCGATGTACTGGGCTGATGTTCATGCTATCCGCCGGTCTCTGGCATTCACGCGTTTCTTGAGTTGCTTTTCAAATCCCGATTGTTGATGTACTAGAGACGCAGGAACGCCTCTTTTGCACATGTGAGGGATGCGTCTGGATGGCGATAGTTGGAGCATAGTTTGATGGCGATGGTTTAAGTATGGTCGTCTAACTTGCCGACGGGCCCACTCGATGCGCGGCGAGCTGGACTTGCTGAAGGCACGCCGGGTCCCATGTGAGCGAAGCACATTCGACCTTTGATTGGCCTGTCGTGTCACAGGTACCGTTCGTGACCGGATGGCGATGCCTTCGACTCCCGGCAGCTAGTCCTAGATATCAGATCTTCGGTTCACCGTTTCCTCCTCGACTGATCAAGTTGGCACCTTCGTCCTCGTTGTCCGCACGCTGCATAGCTCTTCCGGCGTCTGATGACCCGTCATCGTAGCATTGGATTTTCGTCACGCATGCCGGTGACGGAGCTCGGCAGGGCGTCGATGCCGGCGAGCCGCTGACGGAGGGCGGCAGAGCGTCGATGCCGGCGAGCCGCTGACGGAGGGCGGCAGGGCGTCGATGCCGGCGAGCCGCTGACGGAGGGCGGCAGGGCGTCGATGCCGGCGAGCCGCTGACGGAGGGCGGCAGAGCGTCGATGCCGGCGAGCCGCTGACGGAGGGCGGCAGGGCGTCGATGCCGGCGAGCCGCTGACGGAGGGCGGCAGAGCGTCGATGCCGGCGAGCCGCTGACGGAGGGCGGCAGGGCGTCGATGCCGGCGAGCCGCTGACGGAGGGCGGCAGGGTGTCGATGCCGGCGAGCCGCTGACGGAGGGCGGCAGGGCGTCGATGCCGGCGAGCCGCTGACGGAGGGCGGCAGAGCGTCGACGCCGGCGAGCCGCTGACGGAGGGCGGCAGGGCGTCGATGCCGGCGAGCCGCTGACGGAGGGCGGCAGAGCGTCGATGCCGGCGAGCCGCTGACGGAGGGCGGCAGGGCGTCGATGCCGGCGAGCCGCTGACGGAGGGCGGCAGGGCGTCGATGCCGGCGAGCCGCTGACGGAGGGCGGCAGAGCGTCGATGCCGGCGAGCCGCTGACGGAGGGCGACAGGGCGTCGATGCCGGCGAGCCGCTGACGGAGCTCGGCAGGGCGTCGATGCCGGCGAGCCGCTGACGGAGGGCGGCAGAGCGTCGATGCCGGCGAGCCGCTGACGGAGGGCGGCAGAGCGTCGGTGCCGGCGGGCCGGTGACCGCGAGACGGCTGGTCACCGAGCACCAACGGAGCCGTCCGCAGGCTCCAGCCCGCCGGCCTCAAGGTGCGCTCAGGCATCAACAAGCCGTTCTTTAATGGCGACCGCGCGGCGGAGCGGGCCAGGCGGCAAATCCGGCGACTCGACGGTGGGACTGGGGACTGGTCACTGGTCACTGGTCCTGGAGCCCGCTCTCTCCCCGGGGCTAAACGGGTGTCTAGGTCGGGCATGCTTCGGCAGGACTAGATCCGGGGAGTGGTCCCAGGTACCGGGGCTAAAAGGATGTCTAGGTCAGATATGCTCCTGCAGGACCTAATCCAGGCAGATCACCCCCAAGTATCGGGGTGATCGGAGGTCCGGGTCAGACACGCTCCGGCAGGACCTGGTCCAGGGAGTGGTACCAGGTACCGGAGTGGTCGGAGGTCCGGGTCGGATGTGCTCCAGCAGGACCTGAGGCAAGGAGTGGTCCCTGGTACTGGGAATGGTCGGAGGTCCGGATCGGACATGCTCCGGCAGGACCTGATGCAGGGAGCGGCCCCAGGTATTGGTCTGAGAGTGTGATCCCGCAGATCGCAGATCTTGCGGAGATTGGCCCTGGGTTTGGCTCTGAGAACGGGTCTCGAGCCCGGGCCAGACTGGTCGTGGCTGGGAGGAGACTGCCGAGCGCTGGTCCCTCGGTCTGCAGCTGCAGGGCATGGCCCGTCCGTTCGACTAAATGACTGGCGCCTGCTACTTGCACCGTTTAGCTTTCCCGGGTAGTTGCCTTAACCGGGTGCTCCGGCTGAGCTATTTCATAATACTCATGGTATGGCGAAGGGTTGCGGCTGACGGCAACACGTGATGGCTGCCGTTTCCGCAGGCTGACATCGTCCGCCGCCTGACTGACATCGTCCGCCGCCTCCCCGCGCCACTTCCAACACATGCGGAGTGAATCAACAGAGCTTCTGCCGTGTCGACTGTGGAGACGGAACTGAATAACCTGCACGGACGCCGGTAATCGCAAGTGCGCTGAATGGAACTGGGCAGGGCACGGAGTTCATGCTAATGCTTCACAGATACACGCACCAAATACGGAAGGAGCCCAGAGGACCTTCGTGCGAGCGATATGGCTTAAATGCACATATAGATAGATGGCACGAAGGGAATGAAAAGATCTAGAAGCTAGTTGGCTTAGAGGGCTACGACGCTTTTCTAATGGGCGCCAGTTATATGCGTGAGCAAACGCAGCGCCGGACAACCCAAATCATCATCACAAATCAGCATCAGGTTCTTCCACTTTACTGACCTGAATTTTCGCTCAATTAAGTTCCCATATTGAACGAATCACCGTCAGGCATTACGCGCCGATGCGTTGTTTGACCGATGTCTGACCGATGTCTGACCTGGTTCTCAAATACCGTGTGTCCCAAAAAATCAAATACCGTCTGACCCATGTCTGACCGATGTCGGACCCATGCCTAACCGATGACTAACCGGTGTCCGACCGGTATCTGACCGATGCCTGATCAACGTGTGACCGATGTCTGACCGAGGTCTGATCGATGTGTGACCGATGTGTGACCGAGGTCTGACCGATGTGTGACCGATGTGTGAACGATGTCTGACCGAGGTCTGATCGATGTGTGACCGACATCTGACCGAGGTCTGACCGGCGGCACGCCGCGGTCTCATAACTCACGATAGGGCACACCGGCTTGACGCAGCCACTCGGAATTCACCGTTAGGCTTCGCAATCTATCCCTGTGCCGCCTGTTCCTGTCGAGTGATATCTGGCATGATCCCGGACATGAGAAGAGTTGTAAAAATTCGGCCGGCACCAGGATACGTGTTTGCGGCCCTCCTTTCGCTAGATAGCGTCCTTTTCCTCTGAGTGCGCATTCCATCAGCCTGCGCAACATACATTGGGAAGCGTAGAGGGAAAATCACTAGCGTATCCCCCTGAACTGAGCGGAAGTCTTCGCCGGAATCTGAAATGACGTCCATGATTATAATGTATGGGTGTGATATGCGATTCGGCAGGCCACCTGTGCAAAATGGTGGATGGCGAAGAAGAAATCTGCGTCGCGTTAACAAATTGCGCTGCAAATATGCTTATCTCCGTAAGTCAACTAAACGAAGGACAGTTCATACAACTAGGGTGCGACGCATGTTTCAACTTCTCCATATTTTTTACACGGTATTTGTGAAAGAAACGAACACGAAATTGCAGCAACTTTATTATAAAATATGTATATTCATAAAATTGGTCATCAGTTGGTCATGATCACGATCCTCATGCGGCCGTGTAGTTTCCTTTTCAGCCGGGGGAAGGGATCTAATCTCCCCAGCTTGAGTTTCAGTCACAACTTGAGAGAAAAAAATGGGCCAAATCCTGAGAAAAGCTCATTTGTTGGCGTAATTTGGTGGACAGGCCTCTTCATTGTTTTATTGTGCAAACCCCCCATCCCCTACCCAAGTCATTTTTGAGACTACTCCCCTGTCCACCAATGTCCAGGATATGAATGATACCAAGTTCAACAATGAAAGATTGCCCTTTCTAGTTAGCTTAGTGGGTAAGGTAATGGACTCGCACCAGAAGAGTTTGAATTTATATCCCAGCAATTCCAAGGAAGGAATTCGGTTTGTGACCCATACGTGGCGGAAAGCAAATGTAATCCAGTCCTCCTCAGGGCTCCATAAAACCTGACAACGGCCGGGAACTTCACTTGTCGCAACGTCATGCACATACTACCACACCAGACGAGGGTGCTCGTCCAAACCATTTTTGCATCTCTGGTCGTTTTGCATTTGACGTGCGAGATACCAGGACTCGCAGTCAAGTCCTATTTCGCCCTAAAAAACGCACGAACATGAAGCAAGCTCGGGAGCTATCAATTTTCGATTGCCTCTTAGTTCTGTACTTTCATTTGAATCGTCAAGGGATAACTGACGCTGTTTTTTCGGGGGGGAGGCGGGGGTATCTGAGCATTTGTTGAATAATGTTGCTGGTTTACTGCAGTCCGAAGCGAAGGCAAATGAACAGGTTGCACGCTAAACGCTCCCTGTCCTCTCCCTCCCACAACAGCCAGGCTCGACTGTTTACACGGGAGTTTTGAGATTACGGGATCGTCTGCATGAACGCTCTCCTCTAATTACGGTTACAAAGCCATCAGCCGTCCGCCACCTGTCACGTTTACATGTTAAACACAAAGCGAATGACTTTCACTCTGCCTAAGTTGCGTGGCCCGTAGATTAACCAGATCGACCGATCTCGCTCAAAACCAAGTGAATGTCTGTGAGGAAAATTCCGCCGAGATTGAACAAGTCACTCTTACCCGGCTCTGGAGCGGATGAATCACGTCGTTCAGCGCGGTGGTAGCGCCGGCGGAAGCGGCCAGTCCGACACATTTCCGGCGCCCCCGGTCAGACCACGCCTCCCCCGGCTGCGTCAGCGGTGCGCGGGACGATGGGGGCGGGGCGAAGCCAGCGGGCGCCGCCGGCGTCGCCGCGGCCGGCCGCTGACCGACCTTGCAGCGCTGCCAGTGCCCAAACAGTGAAAGTGGTGTGGGGTCGTGCGCGTCATGCCTCCGTCGCCGCCGCCACCGTTCGCGTGTCGCTGATGAGCTGAGGCCAGCGGGCACGGCGGGGCGCCACGCGCTCGGCGAGTATGGGCGTGCGGCCGGCTGCCGACCGCCTGCTGCTGCTGCTGCTGCTGTCACTGCTGGTGAGTCGACTGGCCGCCGGCCGCCACGTGCCGCCAGGCGCGCTGGCCGCCTGATTTGGCTCGGAGACGGAATGTGTGGTGGTGTGGACGACTTCGTGCAATCAAAGAGATTGGGATTGGGGGTGGAGGTTGGCGCGCTCCGGTGCGGGGGCGTTGCTCGTGAATTTGAACCTCGCCATCCTGGTGCCAGGCTGACGCCATGGCCGTGCCCAACGAGATGATCTCGTGATCACATCACGGGCGGGCTGCGCTCCGCACAGGGCTTCCTCCGAACCGAGCTGCAGTCTGCGCCGTTAGCGGCTGCCTCTCACGCTGCAGCGGGAGGGAAGCGAGGAGTCAATGCCGCCGCCAAATTGGGTCAAGTGCACAGTCATCCCGCGGCGCGACGCCCCCGACGTCGCGATGCGCTCCTCTGCCGCGGTGGTCCGTCGAAGATAAACTGGCCGTCCTGCAGCGGACCATGGTCTCCAAAGATGCATGTACAGAGTCTGATTTTCATCTCCGGTAATCCCTGGGATGCAGACGAGCGCGACCGCAACACGAGTGGCTGGCCGAGGCACGCGGCCGGCTAGGCCGGACGTCTCCCGCTCTCGGGGACGCCTCCGGCCGCGCGGACACTGTCGCTACTCTCGAGGGGCGTGAGAAACTGGGCCACGTGTGACCGTAGCCCATGTGACGAGGAAAAATGCCGAGGCCGCCGCTGGTGTGCGAGGGCTTTGTTCCCACCATCGACCCGAGGGGCGGCGGAGAGCAGCGTCCCGACCGTCGACACACCAGCCTACACACAGACGCACACTTGATCACAAACGCTTGCGTTCTTGGCCAGATAGCCACGCCGCAAAAGTATCTCTTGTATTTAATGCGAGCTGGTGTAGTACGCCGGTGCTCTGAGCATATGTTCATCGTGGGTCGGTCGCACCGTAGAGCCAGCTGACAGCCACCCTTCCGCTCAAAGAACCATCTCGATCGAATGTCGTGGATTTGCGTAGCGCCTTTGAGCGCAGCCTTGTCAACACGACAGAGACAGACAGACAGACAACACCCTTGCCTTTTTGCATGTGTCAGCACGCGAGAAGGCCGAGTTGGGGTGAGCTTTGGTTCAACATACTGAGCCAAAGCCCAACGCGCACCGCCCGCAGACGAACTCTGCGGAGCTGGCGGCCACGTCCCATCGAAGTCGCCGAAGCCGCGCCGTCCCGTCTGTCCCTCGCGCCGTATCAAGCGTGGCCCCTGGGACGGGCGGCGCCAGACGCTTTGTTCTTCAGCCAGTCGGGTTTTTATCGCCGGCGGCTTCCCGCGGCGCCCGATCGCTGCTCCCGCCTGACCTTTGACCCGGCAGCCGCGCGCCGGCCGCGCGCCTTCGCCACCTGGCGGCCGCCGTGTGGTGTTGACTGACCTCTACCTTTGACCTGGCGGCCGGCGGCCGTGGGCCGCGGCGACCTTGCCGCCAGTGGCCCGTTCTGCGCTGTTTGGTGGGTCCCGTGACCTCTGACACGGCGGCTGGCCAGCGTCGTTCCGCCGACGTCAACAACACCGTTCAACGCGCGTCGCGACGCCTTGGCGCTGCGACGCTGGCGGTAAGCCGCACGGAAGTCGCGGCTCCGCGCGAACCGCCGCTCCGGTCAGCTCGGCGTGGCGTTCAACCACCGTGGCGCAAGTTTTTGCCCGCATTTAACAGCTCCGTTTGACCAGGGACCGTGCTGGCGGCGTCGCACATTAGGCAAATACGATTCTTAAACGGTGTTGTGTGCCATTACTCAGCCGGTGATAACGGGGAATACCGCGCTTTGCTCGCCTGTGTACTCGCGGCAAAACTTATTGTAAACCCCGTTGTTACGTGTCGCCTGCGACAGAAAAGTGCGACTGATCTCCACCGTTGAGCCAGAGGTGGTGACTTGGGCGCTGACGTGACGCTGAAAGGTCAACTGGTTCTGGCGCTCCCCTGGATGGTGGGCTGACCCTTGTCAGTGACCGAGGCGGTGGCGCGGCCCCAGATGGTGACCTGGGCCGTGATGCGGCGTTGTAGGGCCATCTGGGTGGTAAGGTTGCCTTGAGCAATGCCAGACTCACTATTGTCCCCGAGTAATGATGGAATCCCGACATGGTATGATCCGCAGTGATAGCAAGTGTTCACGGCCCTGTCTAGTTGGATCAAAGCGGGCTTCCGCTGTGATGTGTCCCCGATTTCGACGGCCATTATCACGCGGCCCTGTTTGCTGGCACGCCTTCGCTGTTACTCATCACCGTCGACAATGCCAGACGCGCTCCCTTACGTGATCCTCTTTAATACCAGGCCACCGTTTTAACGTGTCTGTGCACAGCAAAAAGCTGGGCTGTTCCATGGCCCTGGGGACAGGCCTTGGGTAATACGCATGCAACGAAAAATGGTGACTCAGCGAGCGGTAAGTAACGTTCAGACGGTTTATCTCGTTAAGCAGATTGCTCTCAGCTGATCTCCGCCATCAACAGATCAGCAGTCACGGCATGTGCCGCTGAATGGAGACAGGGCGGACATCAACGCTGGCCGAGCTGCTGGTGCCGTTCTGCCGGCCAGCACGCTATGCTGGCACCTGCTGCGTTGCCCTGCGGACCAGAAGGGCCTGGCGCGCCCCGGTCGTTGCGGAGCGAGTGCAGGCGTGGTCGTCAGGTGACGTGAGATGGAGTCGTCAGGTGACGTGACGAGATGACTCATGTTCTTATCTGGTCAGATTAATCCTCCCCTCTCGCGGTGGGCGCTGTCGAATCCACTGGATCCGTAGGATCCACATATACGTATATCATCTGTCTCCGCTGCGCGTCTGGCTCGTGTCGGCGCACAACAATCGAACTGTGCACATGACAAATAGACTTAAAGGTTATCGGAGGTTATGGCGATAAAGCCATCAGGCTCGTCGGCGACGTATAAAGTTGATCGTTTGACATGTGGCGCTGAACATCTCAGCCGATTACGGCTGGAACATCTGCCGCAAAATGAAGACAAATGACACACTTTGCCATCAATAAAATGACATAAATGTCATTGCTTGCTGCAATGCCAGCAAGCGCTAGCTCCTGAGAACAGCCGGCAGCATGAGCGCAGCGTACCATTGTTTCGATCACTGCTCATGGAAGCAGATTGGATTACCACGAAGAAATGAAACAATTTAACATTTTAACAAGCATTCTTTAGACGTTCAAAAGACAAACATAAATGTTTCCTTTGTGTATCACGCCGGAAACGCATCATCCGCTGTTCAAGAATTATGTGAACGGAATGCCGTATACGGGGTATGCGGTAAGGTATACCATGGACTGCCGTATGTACTGCAAGAGAGAGGGAGAGAGAGAGAGAGAGAGAGAGAGAGAGAGAGAGAGAGAGAGAGAGAGAGAGAGAGAGAGAGAGAGAGAGAGAGAGAGAGAGAGAGAGAGAGAGAGAGAGAGAGAGAGAGAGAGAGAGAGAGAGAGAGAGAGAGAGAGAGAGGCAGGCTCGCTCGCCCCAGTCGTCACTGAGCGAGCGCAGACGTAATCGTCAGGTGACGTGGCTCGGTTTTCTCACATGCGGCTCGGTTTCTTAACGTAACATGGACCGTACATTTTGCCCATAGATGCTTTTCCTAGCTCTCATTTTCATTGTGTGTACGTGTCACCAAACAAGTATAGACAAACACACAGTGCGGGCATGTTAGCACACCATCTAGTTATTTTAATCCGACAGCGCCGACATGAATTGGAACACCATGTGTATGCCACTGAGCACAATTGTGCACCGTAATAAGGCTCAGACTACCATCTTACCAGAGCAGCGTCAACGCCGTGGCCAGGACCGGCTTGACCGGGGCACGTCTCTGGGGCCGCCTCGAGGCGCCGGCGCCGGCCGTCAGGTCCGCCGCGCCGCCGTCTGGTATGCAGCGCAGGTCAGGGGTCACATGAACAAGTGCTCCTCAGGGGCCGCTCACCCCCGCACTCGTGTGGGAACGGTCGCCGGCCGCACTATCACACAATGTGAACGGAGATGGGTCGCCAGCTGTTTGGGGACGCGTTCTGTCGGGGTTGACCATTCTCTTGGAAGGTACCCGGTCCGGCGGTATCACCTGCTGGTGGCTGATGCTGAACGTTGCCTGGCTTAGCGCTGTCGGCCGTGCAGAGGCTGGACACCAGCTCGACATGGAGAATGCAGTGGCTGAATGCCAGCAGGCTGAGGACAGCGTGCATGAATTAGACACTTCAGAGTACTTGTCAAATTTAAGACCGTGATATTGCGCCATGTGAACTTTCAGACCGAAGTTAGATTAGAACGTGACACGTGAGGCATTAACCGCTAGATTCGTCGAACATAAAATGCTAATAAAGGGGAATGCGGCGGTTTAATTGCCTTCCTGTGGTATACCAGCCTCATGCCACTGCAAGAATGGCGCACGTTTTTAGAGCCGCGGACACGCGGATACGCCCGACCTTCCTTCTCACCGTGCCCCCCCCCCCCCCCCCCCCCTCCCAACTTTGCTACTCTCAAACAAAGACTGCGCTCCTCCGCGCTGCATCCAAAGCTAAGGCTCTCTACAGGAGCCGCGCATACATTGCGGCTTGTGGTACTGCGGAACCTCTGAAATCGTGTGCTGGTGTCAGGGCACCCCAGGAGCGAGGTGGGGGCACTCACTCCTCAGGAACCTCTGAAATCGTGTGCTGGTGTCAGGGCACCCCAGGAGCGAGGTGGGGGCGTTCACTCCTCAGGAACCTCTGAAATCGTGTGCTGGTGTCAGGGCACCCCAGGAGCGAGATGGGGGCGTTCACTCCTCAGTCAGTTCTTCCGGGCATCACCATGTGGTTAATGACTCACCAGAAATGAGCCGCGGACTGATCGCCCTCCTGTTCTTATTTGTCCGTCCTCCTATGTGCCTTTGTCTTGGAGCGCTTGTTTAATCCGAATTTTTTTCTTTAGTGGTTCTCTCAGATCCTGGGGTTCTCTCAGGTCTCGTGGTGTACTCAGATTCTATCGTTTTCTTAGGCCCAGTGGTTCTCAGATT